GGGGAATGCTCTTCAGTGACTATCTGTGAGCACCAAAGAACATCCCTGTCTAATCTTCTCACCAGCCCCTTTGCTTTCTTACAGCCAGTTAGGAAAGGGCAGAGAAAATGGCTTTCGGACACTGACTGATGTACTCTTCTATGGGTTACTCTGCAATTTTTTCAGTATGAGAGGAGGCAAAGTTCAGCGGCCTGGAAAATGCCTCTGAAAGTTTTTTTGTCAAAGTCTTAACTGAAGTCACCAATTATAAGAAAAAGGCAGGGAAAGCAGGCACAGCCGTTTGCAGTTTGGTCTTCCTCATTCATTGTTTTTTGTACTTGAAAGATAGCTGTTATCCTCATGTAGAAGTCTGAAATGACTAAATTTTTGTACATTCATCTGGCCTCTCAGATGAATATTGTCTTACCTGGTTCATGAAAGTTCAAAAAAACCATTTAATTTACTTTTCTTCCTGAGCAGCTTGAGGATTTGTTGTGTGAGCAAAATGAGGGTAATAAAAAGCAACAGCAGGGATGCAGACATAGTGATTTTTCTCTTAGCTACACACATAAGCAAAGGTTCTGTAATGTACATTTAGTAGCTCTCTTTCCGTGTGGATGCTGTATTAGCCCGCATAACCTTGACCTGCACCGGATGGCTGGTTGCTGTGGCAACAGGTTGCATAGTAACAGGTTTTGTTCCTGGCTTGAATTATCTTGCTTCCCTTAAATGTGACTTTTGGGGAGGTCAGAAGGGGTTCGCCAAATAAAACGGGGAAAGTTTTTTCAAAGGAGAGACAAAAATGTTGATGTTGAGCAACTTGAGCATCTGCTGAGCGATGTTCTTTGTTCATGACAGTGGGAGAAGGTGGTAGGTGGCTCCTCCATCTTTTCTGCTTCATTGAATAAGAGGTCAGCAGCTCACCAGAAAAAAAAAAAAAGGCAATTCCTGAAAAGAAGATGATTGTAGGAGGTTTAGGGGAATTTGTCTGCTGTGTGACTCCCACTCCCAGTAAAGGCAGTAAGCAAATATTAACAGCTTAATACTCCAGTAACCTTGAAAATTTCTGAATTTAAAGTAAGCCCCCGATCAGCTGCTCTCCAGCTGGACTGCTTCTAAACCTCTGGTGACCTCTTCCTGACTCACACTGGAGCCCTCTATCAAAACAAATTTTAAAGAATTACAACCATTTACTTCAGAAAACCTTTGTTTTGGCTTTCTGATGGCTCTGCTTAGCAAGGTCCTATAGGACACTGCCCTGAGGGGCAAGAAGGGCTGAGGCTGATCTACAGAGAGGACCTTCTCAGAAGAACAGATGGCCCACTCCAGTGTGCTGCAAACAGAGCCAGGCATGGCAGAGAACTAGTGTGGACTGACAGAGACCTCCTGACTGAGCTCAAACACAAAAAGAAAGGGCACAAGCTGAGAGGGACTATCCAGGAGGGACATAGAGACAGTGACCAAGCTTGTAGGGACAGAGCTGAGAAAGGCAAAGCTCGGCTGAAGCTCAAAGAAGTTATGAGAAAGGTTTCTCTGGGTACATTGGTAGCCAAAAGAAGTCTGAGAAAATATGAGCCTACTGCCTGATGGGGCCAAGGTGGAGGAAATTAAAAGTACTTCTGTTTTTTTGCCATGGCTTTCAGTAGTAAGGTCTGTCCTCAGACCTGTGTTTCAGTCTGCTAACAGAGTCTTTGGGAATGTAGCATTACCTACAATAGAGGAAGACAGTGATAGAGCTCTTGAGCCGAATGGATATACAGCAGCCCCTCACACCAGGCAAGTACATCCAAAGGTCCTGAGGAACTGCAAACCCAGTGGCCAGCAGGGGAGGTTCCTCATGGCTGGAAAAGGACACGCTTTGCTTTAATCTTTAATGCTGTTAAATGTCTTGATTAACTATGTGGACGGTATGATGGAGTGCAGCTTTAGCAAGTCCATGGATGAAATCAAATTGTGGAGAGTGGTCAGCACACCAGAGGGGCCTGGGCAGGCTGGAGAAATGGAAGGCAGGAACATCATGAAGTTCAGCAAAAGCAAACTTAGAGTCCCTTATCCAAAGAGGAATAACTCTGTGCACCAGTACAGGTTGGGGACTGCTTGTCTGGAAAGTCAGAAAGTACCCTGCAGATGGACAGGTAGACAAGTTGAACCCCAGGACACAGCAGTGTGCTCTGCTGGCACGAACTGTGTGTAGCCAGCAGGACCTGGCAACACCTGTGGTGTGTGCATGCTGGTACAGGAAATACGAGAGTGAGTCTTAGAGAGAGCTGCCAGGATGGTTAGGAGGCTGGAGCAGATGATGAACAAGGAGAGGCTTAGGGAACTGGGTTTGTCCAGCCTCCAGAAAAGAAGGGTAGAGGGGGTTATTATTGGCACCTACAGCTTTCTGATGGAAGGATGTGGAGGAGCTGGAGCCCCGCTCTTTTGGGACATGTGCAACAAAGTGGCAAAAGGCAACACAGGAAGCTCTGAGTAGATGCTAAGATGAGGTTCTGGCTGTGAGGGTGGACAAGCACTGCAGCAGGGGCCCTGGGAGGTTGCTGGATTCCCATCTGTGGGGACAGTCAGAACTCAGCATGGCCCTGGTGTGACTGAGTGGGACTTGGCTCAGGTGACCTCCAAGTGGCTCCTTTCAGCTGGGATCATTCTGCAAGTCTCAGTCTCTTTTCTCTTTGGCCATAGAAAGCCTAGACCAGGACTTTGCCTGTGGGTGAGACTGAAAATGGGCTGTGTGGTTAAGCTACCCTCCTTTCCCCATCTCTCAGTCTCTCAGCCCTATACATCTCTCTTCTCTGGATAGCAGTGTCATCATGTTATAACTCAAATATTTGGTAATGATATGTTGCTGTAATCCCCTTAGAGAACTCTTCCAATATTGCTCATTTCTTCCTTTATATTAAACATGCCGCTGTGTGTTTTACCCTTGTACTCCTTGGGCATGTATAAAGTAAGCAGAATTCAGCACAGATAGAAATATATACATAGGAAGGAGCTTACAGAGAAACAAAATCCAGACATGATGTGGTTGGAGAGAGGTCTGCTTTTAATTTTTTCTTTTCTTTGTGCCAGATGATGTAATTTCTTAGCAGCTGTCAACCTCTAGCACTGTTAGAACAGTCATTTATGTCTGTACTGCTGCACTGTGATCCCATCAGGCAAGAGGAACAGGAAGTTGTCAAGTGGGGTTGTCCTCTTACCCATTTATGTCTCAGAAGGATTTGATGGGGTTTGGCCAGGTTGTGGAAGCGGTGGAAAAGAGTTCACTTGGGTGAAGGGATCAGCAGTGGCAGAAAGGAGAACACCGAAACAGATTGTCCAGAGAAATGGACACAAAGGAGAGGGGGCCAAGAAAGCCAATGGCATCCTGGGGTGCATAAAGAAGAGTGTGGCCAGCAGGTTGAGGGAAGTCATCCTCGCCCTCTGCTCTGGCGAGGTTGCATGTAGAGTACCGTATCCAGTTCTGGGCTCCTCAGTTCAAGAAGGACAGGGAACTGCTAGAGAGGGTACGGAAAAGGGCTGCAAGATTAGGGGGCTAGAACATCTGTTGTGAAGAAAGGCTGAAGCACTTGGGGCTTTTAGTCTGGAGAAGACCAAGGGGGCATTTTATCAATGCTTATAAATATTTCAAGGATTGATGTCAGGAGGATGGCGTCAGTCGTTTTTTCAGTGGTGCCCAGTGATGGAAGAAGAAGTAATGGGCACAAAAGTGAACATAGGAAGTTCCGTCTAAACATGAGGAGGGTGACAGAGCAGTGGAACAGGCTACCCAGAGATGTGGTAGAGTCTCCTTCTCTGGAGACATTCAAAACCTATCTGGATGCCATCTTGTGCACCTGCTCTAGGTGAACCTGCTCTAGCAGGAGTATTGGACTAGATGATCTCCAGAGGTCCCTTCCAACCCCTACAGTTCAGTGATTCTACCTGGAAGTAGTCAAGGCCAGGCTGGACGGGACTTCGAGCAACTGGGTCTAATGGGAGGTGTCCCTGCCCATGGCAGGGGGGTGGGAACTAGATCTTCAAGGTCCCTTTTAACCCAACCCATTCTATGATTCTGTGAAACAGAAGAAACAGACTTTGAAGGGAGGCTGTCATAGGATGGAACAAAAAATGCAGGGGGACTGACTTGACTTTGTTTTAGGCTATTTTTCTCGTAAATCTTAAAAATACTTTGCCAAGTGTTGCTAGTCCTCAGGGTAGTGGAACACTGCAGGTTTGAAAGGTTACACCTTGCTTCTGCAAATCAACAGCAAGTCATACAGCCAGCAGAAAAATTTATTACCAGTGGCCCAGCAGCCCAGCCAGAGAGTGCAATATCCAGCTCATCCTCCATGTAATGCAATTGTGTCAGGAATTTACTTTTGGGAAATGTAAATCTGAAAGATGTATCTGCTTGTCCTTAAAAAGATGGCAGAGCTTGCTTTGTGCGTGGAAATGTCAAGCAAACGTCTTGACCAAATTATCAGATGGTTGGTTGCATCTTGTCCTTGTAGGATGTGCTGGTGGTTACACGGGGGAAGAAGAGAGGCTCTTTGCTTCCTGTCCCAAAATATTTGGGCTATGCTGCCTTGCACTGTGAATGTCCATGGGGCAGCCTGGGGCAGGCTGCGCTGCAGATGCTCAGGAAGTCAGCAGGGTTTATATAAAGCTCTGCTGGGTTTGCAGAACCTGCTGGCTCCTTTCCAACCTGGAAGTGGTGATATAAATAGAAATGTTTTGCTTTTGAAGTCTGCCTTCTATTCACGGAAAGGAAGAACTTTGTGCCGGAGCTGTGATATAATAGCTGTTAAATAAAAGTCTCAAGACCAGTTCTGTGACAGGCTGAATGGCTTGACCATGTTTCAGTGGGATGCAAGTGAGCTCAGTAGCCTATAGCGTTACATCTCAGGTCACTGGTTGCTGACATCTGGATAAGGTTTGGCTGTATGAAAGCAGAGTTCTAAAGTAACCCATCCGTCTCCCCTCCTAGCTGTTCCTTTTCCCACTAAAAGTTAAAAAATGATGCTTTTTTTCTCTTTGGTCAGATTAACAAAATGTTTGGGACTGTGGTGGTTGGAGTTGGAATTGCTGGCTTAGCACGAATCCGAGACTTGATGAATCCGATGCCTTCCAGCCCTTCTGAACACCTGAAACTCTTGGGATTTGTATCCAGGTTAGAAATTTCATCTTAGTATGTTCAATATATATTTTGTAATGTTTATTTCTTATGCTGCACATGCCTTTCTTTCCATGTGGAGGACTAGTATTTGAAGGGTACAGGGGATGAATATCCAAAGTTTTATATTTTAAAATTAAGGCTGTTTGAAAAGGGAAAGTTTATGCAAATATGACATCATTCTGAGTGGCAGATAGGAAATGAGCACAGAAAGCTTTGCAAGAGGGAACAAATAGGTTACCTTAGTGAGATGCCTTGCAGAAATGACTAAAATAAAAGCTGAGAGATGTTCTTACTGTAGGATCTGTGTGATAAAAATGAAATGCAATTCTGTCTGGCTGGAATTTCCTGTAGGTTTAGGATGGTGCAGACAATAATTACACTAATGAGCTACTGTCTGCGTGACTTTTATAGAAACGTTTAAGAAACACAAGAAATTTAGAAGAATTTTAAAGATTTTTTTCTATTTTTTACCCAAAAAAATGTGTTGTAATGCTCCTAATACTGCACCTTCATAATAAGATTATAATTTTATTTTTCTTTTAGCCAGGTATGGAACTTGTAGATATCTTTAAAGAAAATCTCATAATTTAGTATGTACAGTAAGGTTGCTTCTTAGAAAGCACTAGCCTACAGCTGTGGAAATTTAGAATATACCTCCCTCTGAGCATTCCTGTTTAGACTATCTGCCCCATAACAGCACAGAGGTTTTAAATAGGCAGTATACGTATGTGTGGAACTCAGACTGTGAATGTATTTTTCCAGCTATATTTAAATTGTGCAGTCAGGGTTGTCTGAGACTGAAAGGACCCATTAGGTCATCCACTTTGTCTGCTTGCCAAACACACTCCTGGTTCCCTGATGCGTTTGCTAGTGCTACAGCTAGCCTTGAACAACATTAAAGGTGGGATTTCCACTACTTTTGTTGAGAAACAGTGGTGTTGAAATCCAGACAACTTGCTGGATTTCATTGCCTTGCTCTCTCCATGCCCATCACACACAGACATTGTCTGTCTTTGCTGCCGGGACCTGCTTGTGGGCTACCCTCCTGCCCTCTGTCACCTGTCCTGACACTGTCAAGGTGTCTGCTCCAGGCTTTACCAATGCAAAGGGCTTTTGCGGGGGAGCACCATGTGTGGTGTTTTCGAGTGGAGATGGGCTCAGGGTGGTGGCCAAGAGACCCTTCCCCTTAGCACTGACACGAGTGTGAGCCATTGTAGCCAAGAGGCTCCTTGTCCCTTTCCTGCTTGTCCATACTTGCAGCTGCACATGGCCCTGCCGACTCAAGTGGTTTCTGTCCATGTTGTCCATGTCCTCCCATAGGAACACTGTCCTTCTTCAAATGACTCTAAAAATGGCTCTTTTTCAATGATGCTTATTTTAAAAAAACCCAAAACACCAAGACAAAACCAAAAGCACTTTACGCTTCAGTAGCAGAACAGTTACTGTACTGATACCACCACCTATGCCCTGGCCCATCTGTTCTCTTCTTTTGTGTGCTCCACTTCTGTCTGTAAGTACTCAGTGCCTTCCTGGATAACAAGCTGCCTTTATTCTACCCTGGGTGAGCTCAGTGAGACAGTAGTCCACGGGAAAAAATTCTAAATGCTGTTGCACAACTTAAGAATGGGAAGAATGGACTGTGACAGTTGTATTTATTGTAAATACACAGGAGAAGTTTTGGCAATATTAATGAGGCCAAGCAGATAAGCCTGGAAGATGCTCTAAGAAGCAAAGAGATCCATGCAGCGTTCATCAGCACAGAGAACAGAAGCCATGAAGAAACCATCAGGTATTTTGAGGTGTTTTTTTGGTTGGGGTTTCCCCCCTACCTTCCATAATTTAGAAGCATAGAAGGCCTGTGTGAAGCTGTTGTGGGAAAGGATGTAGACAGTGGAGAAGAGCCTGCCAGACTAGAAGTCTAAAGTGAATGATAGTGAGTTCCCTGGAACACCAAATAAGCCCTGGAAAAGAGTGGAATTTCAGATGCATTCATTTCCCAATTAATTCGAGTTGCATACCTCTACACCTGTGTTCAATGGACATGCAGCCTTAACCAGGATTCAAAGCATTTTCATACAGATTGGGTAAAGGAAGGGCGCTCCGGTGTCCCATTCCGGCCACTCAAGTTGTCTGAAAGCTAGAAATTGCAGTGGTCAACACTGCGGCATTTTAGTGACTTGGTGTAGGTGCATGAGGGTATTCTGTGGGAAAGGAGGATTAAACCTAGCTCTTGTGTTATTTAAATGTGTGATATAGCCACTGCACCATTCTGGCCAGGAAACTTGCCATTTATTTCTGTTACTCTGCATTGTGCATTTCTCCATACTGGGATGACTGTGGGAATGAGAAGCAGCTTGCACAGTGGGAAGAGACAATTATCACGATATGTTTCTTAAAGACTGACTTCGTATCCCTTTCAGGATGTTTTTAGAAGCTGGAAAACATGTCCTGGTTGAGTACCCCATGGCTTTGTCTGCCAAGGCAGCCCATGAGCTCTGGGAGATGGCTGAGCAAAAAGGTAACACATTGATTCTCAAGGGTGTAAACAGTATTACCTCTTGGATAGTACCACATGCATCAAACTCCAAAGTCAAGGCTCCAATCTATTATTTATCATGACATTTGAGGGAGTATGCCTGTCTCAGTCATGTGTCAATCTAGGATTTACGCTATATGCTGATAGGGAATTAAACACACAAATGTCGGTGCTAAGAGTAAGGCATGTTTGCTCTCACAAAAATGCTGATCTCTGCTTGTGACACTAAGAATGCAGTTAGAGAAGGAAAATTCTGTCACAGAAGTGTGTGGTAAGTGTAACCATTGGACTTGTGCAGTTCCCTGTCCTCTCTCTCCCTGAAAATGAAACTGGAAACGGCTCCTGTGACTTGTAGTGTTTGTGCTGGTCACACACAGCTGCTCATGGTGTTGCAGACCAGCAAGGCATCCTTGTCTGAAAGATAGCTTGTCTCTAAGCAAAATCTCTTTATTTCTGGAAAGCGTGTGGTTCCATCCCTGTAGTGCCCAGGATCAGAAGCTGGCAATTCAGTTTAGGCCGGTGGGGATGTGCGGGGCTGCAAGGAACCAATAGTGCTGGGTGGGAACAGGGTGCAAACCATTTGGACAAGGTGCACTATTTAAAAAAATTTTTTGGTGACTTTTGTCCTGAAACACCGGAGGTATAAGATTTCTGCTTTGCTGTTTCCCAGTATGAACACCACTTCATGCCTTGTTGCTCGCCAAATGGCTTCCCATTGAGCAGAATTTATGTCTCTTCTCCTGAAGCAGCAGCAGTTACTGTCAGCAGCCTAAGTTGACTCCTGGAAACCTTCCATAAAGACACGTATTGAATGAGAGCCACATTCAACATGTATTGGATAACCTCTGTTCCAAAGTAGCCCAATTAATTGCAATGGAAGGGAGTACTCTTTAACATATTGTTACAGTCTGGGTCTGACTATTATGCTATTTTTCCTCCTCCTTTTTCTTTCCTACTACCCTGACAAGAAAAATGCAGAATAAGGAAATATGTTGGGGGAGAAGAGGCCAAGAATTAATCCATCTTTTACTTTGAAGACTCATGTTTCAGGCTTAGTTGGGTATTGGGTTTCATTACAGAGTTTCAGTTAAACATAGTGGCTACTGTTCCTGTGGTCTCTGTATTTGTTGTCTCCTGAAAATCCTTAACCCAGATTGATGCCTCAGCACAGGACCCGTGTTTGATTTTCTTCCTGACATCATTTTGCCAGCCCTGCGTGAGAATATTTCTAAGTGAGTTCCCAGTGGTGACTGGTGAAGCCTTTCCTGTTTAGATGTGCCTTTGATTAACACAGAAAGTTCTTTCTTAATCTGTCCTGATTTTTCGTGTGACGTTTTTGGTCTTTTTTTTTTTTAATGGCAGATAAAGTACTTCATGTGGAACATATTGAGCTTTTGACTGAAGAGTACAAGCAGCTGAAAAAAGAGGTGGCTGGGAAAGACCTGGTGAAGGGAACATTGCATTTCACAGGTCAGTAACTGTGTAGAACTAGAAGTTCATCTGGATTTGTCTGCCTGCTCCACAGGGACACCAGTCCTCCCAGGCTTCAATCACTCCTTTTAGATGAGAGTCTGTCCATAAACTGGCTAGAGACAGAGATGATGATTCTATGTCAGTTCTGGATGTTTCCATGAAGTTAGAGAACTGTCTGAAAACCACCTTTAGTTTAACAGTTGTCTTCTGCGGGTTGTTGCCTTGCTAATCTATTTCTGCTGCCTGGTGAGGAACGTAAGCCTTATGTGGAGGAGAGAGCAATTCTTCATTCCTTCTGTACTTTGGTGATAATGACCAATTTCTCATTCATATTGGTCTCAGAGAGGAGGATGAGCTATGAGGAAGTGTCCCAATTTCTACTGGGGACCTTTTTCTTCCACACTGGTGTTTGGCCCCCGAAGAAGAGATTTTTCGAGCCATTGTTTTCTTTTTATTCCCTTGTTGAATCCATATACACCCTCCTGTCCTCAACGTGTCCTGAAGGGTTTGTTGTATATATACTTTGTGCAGCCTTCTCTATCATAGATCAGCAGATCCATTTGAAGGTTGACCATGTTTGTTGGCTTGCATGCACAATCCATCCACTCATGGCCTCTCTACACCCTGGTCTCTAAACCTGCAACACTGCCGTTTCTTCAACCGTTCCTATGCAGAGGGTATTTTTCTCTTTTCCATTTCTCAAGATTTTCTGTTCCTGTTGCACCAGGTAGTGTCCTCGATGAAAACAAAGCAGGATTCCCAGCGTTCAGTGGAATTGCCCGACTTACTTGGCTGATTGACCTCTTTGGAGACCTCACTGTTACCTCTGCCACCAGAGAAAAGCAGAAGGATAAGAATTATTCCAGAATGACTGTTCACTTTCAGACGACAAACAAGAAGTGAGTAATGGCCGTGGCAGCAGGTGAGCTGGGCTCCTCAGGTGTCATCTGCAGGAGTTCCGCATCCTCTCTTCCTCCTGTGGAAACGGAATGAGTGGATGCTGGCATGGAAGTGTGTGGGAAACAGACCTGAAAATACTTCCTTATAGTAATCGCAGTGAAAAGAGTCACCACCAGTGACTGCTAAAAACAGTGACTGCTAAAAAGCACAAGATGATTTAAAAGCTTTCTGATGTCTGAATGCAGGAATGGGCCCATAATATGTTTTACTATTCTCAAGATTGAAAGACCCTACTCTTGTACTCTGAAAGCTTGTGCAGAGGCAGGCTATATTTTGTTTAGCATCAGACCTTCCAGCTGCACATTGAAAGCTAACCTTTCTTTAAAGGTTGAAAATATGTGGCTATTTGAAAAGCTAATGCTTTAGTTACAATACTTAGCTTACACTCTTAATGTTTGTGCTGGTATGTAGTACTAGCTGGAGGTTAAGAGAAAATTACACATTTCAAGTAGAAGTGTAGTAAACTGCTGAAAGGCCAACATGCAAAGTTTGCTCTTGAGTAATGCCTAATCTGCAGTCCTGAAGTTTCCTTGATTTTTCCTGAGTAGGACGACAGTCTGTTTCTCATTTCTTGTCTTTTTGCTTTTGTTGCATGAATGTGTCAGACCGAGTGTCCTGCAGCCACAATTACTTGTTATTTTTGCTAATCATTGCACTATGACTTTCTTGTAGAAAACTCTCCTGATGATGCATTTTAAAATAATGAGTTTGATCTCCCTTTTATTGTATGATAGCCTTGCTATCAAATAATGCATTTATAATGGCATTGCTATAAAATAGTATATTTTTAAATATTATATGACCATGAAGTAAGTTATCAGTGTTTCATACTGTGAATTGAGTCCTCAACATAGTCCAAAGGCTGGTAGTGTATTTTTCTGGAAACTCTTCAGTTTGGTCATCTGGTGCCATCCGCATGGAGGTCATGTCCTTTCAGATAGGTTGAAGTTACATACAATGATGGTTTACTGCATGCTGTAGGTGCAACTTGAGAATTGTCTGACATGAAAAGGTACAGAGAGGTTACCCAAGCTCTGTGTGTTTCCTAGGAGGTAGGAATGGTCATTGAGCAGTTTGTTCCTTTCTCTTCACTCCTGTTTTCCTGTTTTTCCATATAACACACTCTGCCTTTGAGACAGGTGACCCCTTCAGAGACATATGACAAGAGACATATGAGAAGACTAGGGAGAGCAGGAGAATATAAGATCCCATGGGGAAATATTCTGGCCTATCATCATTTGTAATAAATTGCTCTTTTTTGTTGCACTTAAGAACACTTAAAACAAAAAAAAACTCAATAACAAAAAAGGAAAAAAACCCCACCAAACACAAATGTTTACCTCTTTAAGAATTTTAGATAAGTGTTTAGTTTAAAAAAGTAATAACCTGAAGGACTAGTTAATTGGAGAGTGGATAATCAGGTCTCATTTGAGCTGTTAATTTCACCACGGGTCTAGTTAAGCATTTTATCAGCCAGTCCTACAAAGCTCACTGCATTTTATCGTGGGATTAGCATCCTCTCTCAGCAATCTTCCTTCCTCTTTAAATAAAACTTCGTTTCCAATTCCTTTTAAAATGCAGTTGTGCGAGGACAGAACTCTGTATACGAGCTCTGTTTATTTACTCTGAGCAATTTGCCAGTAACAGGAGTAGCTGTGAAGTAGAGTGAGCTTTTGAACTAATTCCAGCAGGTGGAACTAGTGGGTGGCTTAAACGTTTCCCTGGCTGTCCTGCCCCTAGGTAGTTCTTAGCTGCTATGTAAGATATTTGCTAGATACAGAGCCCTATCTGCATTACGTGTTTCCCCCCCCCCCCCCCCCCGCTGCACTACAGCAGTGACAGGCACCTGCTTTACCTAGCCCACTACTGTTTGCGTGGGTCACTGAGCGTTTTGTCACCGTGAGCTTTTTAATTACCTCGGGGACAGTCGGCTTTCTGTCTCTGGGATAATTTATGCCGGCTGGAAAGTTGCATAGCGTTCCTGTATTCTGTTCGGTGGCGGGGCCGTGTTTCCTGCGACCTTCCCCCATTGACGTCAGTGGAGTTACAGCAGTAGAGAATTTGGCCCACTCTCCATCGAGCAAAGTTACAGCCCGGCAGTCGTGGTGATGGTGTTACAGCCCAAATTTGCCCAACGTATATTTCACTGAAGGATGAGAAAGATCTGCACTGTTCCTGAGAGCAATCCTGTCCTTTTTTGAAAGGCATGATTGCACTAACCTTGAGAAATCAGGTTAATTCAAGCTGTTTTCTGCCGTGGAAAATGCAGCAGGTGCAGAATGCAGCAGCCTATGTTCTGCGTGTTAAGCAGGGATTTGTGCAAGGACTATAGTCTGTCTCCGCTGTGCTGGCTGCTCATCTGTCCCTGGGTGGATTTTGGAGGTGTGTGTTAATGCCTGACGCCTAGCTATCGGAGGGATGACCTCTGCCTCTGTTGTGTTTCCAAAACAGTTGAGCTGACAGCCTCTCTCTGATAAAACGTTGAGCAATCCCAGAAAAGCCAAACCTCTACTGACAGCACGGCTGGTTTGGGACTGCAGTTCCTGTCCTGGGATTACAGAGCTTGGATTCCATAAATGTCAAAAATGAATTTTTATTGTGAGCTGGAGAGGTAATGATTTGGGCAACGTCTCTTTTGATGTTTGCTAGAGGTAGGGTCTAATTGTCTCATTCCCACCCAAGGTTAAGGTAGCCCTTTTTGATTGCATGGCAAATAAAAAAAATCAGCATTTTCAAAGCATGAAAAGACAAGCGTTTAAGAGAAACTGAAGACACTTTCTGAACACATGCTGTGGCAATAAATGTTTGAAATAATGTTTGTAGAGATCTAAGCTTACAAAGTCTAATAAAAACCTTCAAATTGAACATCCATAAAAAAAATCATGTAATTCATGCTTTCTGCAGAAATTGCTGCATAAAATATTAAGCTGAGTGGCCTCAGCGTGAAACCAGCTTTGTTCTTCTGCAAGTACAAAGAGTGTTCGCTTTGGTTTAGTTTGTTTAACAAACGAGGACAGTCTGAGTAGGGCCACTCATTTTTTGAAGAAACAAGGAGTCAGAAAAACAAAGTCTCTTGCAATCTCTGATTAAAATGTAGCTAGGAGAGCTCTACCAGTCTAAAATCTGAAAAGGCAAAATGACTTTTTTTGGTTTCTTCACTGCAGGTAGTGTTTGCTTTGTAAAAAGTCAGTGTAAAAGTGGTTTGCTAGTGTTTGGTTAAACTTTCTTTTTCTTCTTTAACTGTCCAAAATGTTTAATGTGTCTTTATTCAGCTACCAAAAATGCTGCATTTGTTGCTTCTAAGTAACACTGCTGACACTCCTAAGTAACTAACTATATCCATAGCCAGATAATACTTTGATATAAATCTTTAATGAAAATGGGTAAATTATCTGTTAAAAAAATTACAGTTCTTCATAATTTTCTGGCAAAATACAGATCCTTTTTTTGAGCTACAGAATCGCTTAAATAATGTGCAGGCTTGCAGCATACGTATCATTATAGCAGAAAGGGACTAATTTCAGTGTAGAAGTTGTTGTTAATTAAAAAATAACATGTTTTGGTTACCAATCAAGTAGCATCAACCTCTTTTGGGGAAAATACCTAAAAATCTCATCACAGAAAAAGATACATCTATTAGTAAAATCAGTATTTTCCTGCTTACTGATCTAAATTCGTTTTAATCACTTTGATTAAATTCTGCCTGCTGTGCGTGATTGTGCTTCTGGTTCAGTGGCTTCCCCAAGCTGGAGGAGATGATGACATATGCTTGAGCCTGGTCATTAGTGTGCATTGGTGTGCTTTAGATCACCCCAGGGAGATGACCCTGTTTTGGATCGTACAAAGGACTCCCACTCTGTTCCGTGATGGAGATCTTTGCCCGTGCCTGCCCAGTGGTTTCTTCATACTTGCCTACTTGAGATAAAGCAGCTTTGAGTAACAGTGGCCTGAAAAACATAAAACCAGCTCTGTTGAGTCAGTGCAAAACCCAGCTTGCTCAGCAGACTGCCTCTGATCCAGATCAACAGGCAGCACCCCAGGGAAGGAGGGTGAGAACTTAGAAAGCACCAAGTGATACGGCCCTCAAGCACCCTTTTGACCTCCGACAACATGTAGCCTTGGGAATTCCTAAAATGCACAGTGTCTTTGCATTTATTAGTCCTCTGAGGACTTTTTTGGGTGTGTTTTGCAGACTGTGATTTGGGTCCTTTTTTGGTTTTCTCGAGTTGTTTTATTCTGTTCATCAGGTTCATCTGGCCATGCTTAATTTGTAGGGGGGGTGTGTTAGTACAGGTGAGCAAAGAGTAATTGGTAAAATGATGTGAATAAAGAATCTAAATCCTAAAGCGTGAAAGATGAAAGGTGCAGAATCATTAAGTTGAGTGCTCTGCAGAATGTGTTCAGGGTAGACTGACAAGGACTTTCTTTCCAGATCTAATGATATTGAAGATTTAACGGGCAGTACTTGGAGACAGAATTTATTCTTTCATGCTATTGATGCCCTCGTAATTTGTGAGTGGCAGACTAAAATGGGCCGTAATGGGCTGTGGAAGGGCCATCAATAACCAAGTAAGGAAAATAATGTGCATCCTCTGAACACAGGCAGTAGCGAGTGCTGATGAATGGGCTGTGGAAAGGTAATGGCATGGTTTAGGCAGTTGACAAAAGAGCAGGAGGATCGTGGCTGTGGCTGGTGTTGAAGACCATTCCTCAAAGCCTTTGCAGTGTTAGGCCAGGGAGTCTGTTAAGATCCCTGAAGCGATGCAGCATGTTCCACAGCTCCTCAGCTAAACTGGGAAGTCGGGAGGGAAAGTGTGAGGACCTGTGAGCTATGCCAGTCAGTAGCCACCAGCAGCAATGCTTGGCCTGGAGACCGTGGTTGTCAAGTTGGCAGGACTTTGCTCTGATTAAGACAGCCACGCCTGAGAGTCTATGTAGTTGAAACAAGCAAAACAGACATCTTCTGGTATAATCTTTAGAATCAGCTCAGTGCTCCTGGTGAAGATAAAGAAAAGGATTTGAGAAGTTCTGAAAGTGCAGACACTAATGTCTTCATGAGTGAACTTGAAGTGGGTCCCGCTCACCCTAAAGGGCTGGTGGTCAGCTTGCACAGTAGCACCCAGGTCATCATTATGCACCTGAGTGACATTCTTACTGGGAGAATGATGAGACATTGAAGGCCTTGTGAGTTTAGGTGTGATTTAGTCATGCACAAAATACTTGGATGTTTAACTGTACTTCTCATGCAAGTCCACAAACAGATGAAGCTTCCCTCTTGCCTGTGAGATGGCTAGACACTGCTGGCCTCACTTTGCAGGTAGGGAAGGCAAAGCTGGAGAGAGCTTAGATGGTGAACTGGAAGTCATGGCATGAAGCAGGGGCCGCGTTAAGACTGTTGCCTGGTGTTCAACTCTGTAACCTCAATGCATGTTGGTCAGAACACGTTACCTGAAATTGCAATGACTGAAATTTAAAATATGGTGCATTTATTAGGGCATTTTCTGTAAATGCTGAGGGAAAAAAAGCATAAACTATAACTCTTGATTTAATTTCTTCATAAATACTCTTTGTTTTCTCTTCTCCTCCATGCTAGACCTCTGACTTGGATTGAAGAAAGAGGACCAGGGATGAGACGTGAAAAGAAAATCAACTTCTGTTTCACAAGTGGTTGCCTAGAGAACTTCCCTCAAGCCCCCAGGTCTGCTGTGGGACTTTTCATGCAGGATCAGAACCTCTTTGCCAAAAAACTGCTGGGCCAAGTATCCAAGGAGGAGCTGGCTGCTGAAAAATGGCGAATTTTGCGGTGTCTTGACCTTGCCGAGGTGATCCAACAGCACTGTGAACCGCCAGAGAAAATCTGTTCCTGAGACTGCTCTTGGGGGAAGGAGGAACGTGGCAGACGGGAAGGCTGTAGGGCTAGAGCTCAGTGTTACCATCAAGCAGTTGCTATTTCTATTTAATTACCTTCTTTTTGACTGGCTGTGATTCCTAGGGTCTCTGGATGGACAAATTCTTAGGGTCTGTGCTGGCTGGTTTGCTCCAGAAAAAAGCAATATTAGCCTGCTCTGATGCATTGCCGTCCTTCCAGGCAGGCAGGGACCTGGCAGGCACGGGCTTTCCTGTGATTCAGTTGGAAATGTCCCTGAGAGCAGATCCTGGAGTACTGCAAATACTGGATATGATTTTCCCTCCTGAGTTTTTTTTTTTTCTCCCTTTCTAGATATATCTGAAAAAGAGATGTGTCTCATTTAGTGGGAGTTGTGTAATATTACCTTGAAAGAAGTATTAGCTAGAATGAAGTTCTAGGTGAATTTTCCACCTCTTTCCTTGATCTGCAGGACTTGTGCCACCACAGCCCTGACCTATTCTTCCAGTTGCCGTGAACTGTTCTGTGTCCTTGCTCTAAATAGTTCTTGTGCCTGTTTGGGGTTTTTTTTTGTTTGGGTTTTTTGGGGGGTTAGGGGTTTTTTTCTGCATTGGAAATCAACTGCCTTCAAATAGAATCTATACTGGCATCAAACCAGAATAGAAGAAATATCTTGTCTTTTGATACATGGCTTGTGGAGTTCAGTAATTAAATTTCTCTGGCACCCTGTACCAACATAGAAATATTTTTCCAGCAGAGATTATAACAGCACATGCAAGTAACACATCACCTGCTTGCTTTCTTTTGAATATCATTTTTTTTTTTGTACTTGGAAGCAGCCAGTTACTGTCCTTTATTTAGGTTCTGTACCTAATTCAGCAGGTGAACGGACCACTGCTAAAAATAATATACATCCTGCTTTAAGAAAAAATATCTAACATACTCCTGGAAATAGTGAAATTCATTAGAAATAGTGATAAATGTAGAATGGAACTGTAGAAAATAGAGCAATTTGGAAATACAGCCATGCAGTTATGGTGTCTGACACCTGTGGGGATGAGCCTTCAGCATTTTACAGTAGTCCCAGGGTCACATATGAAGACGCTATCACTTCCCTACAGAAGCATTTTAGTTTTAGGAGAAGCCTAAAGAGTGCACAGAACTATTAACACTAACAGTTCTTCTGTTGGCCTTTTACTTTCTAATTACAGTATCTGTCGGTGCTGTATTAATATAGCAGCAAGCTTCAGTCTATGCAGTTCTTTCAGAGCCATCGTTTCTTTTCTACATTATCACTTGATCAGTTTTTTAACAGGGAGGCATATATGTTGTAACTCTATATAATTACAGCCAGTCAATATTGATGGAGTCTTCCTTTGGGTACATCATGTTTATTCAGAAGTTGGATACAATTCAGTTAGTTGAAAACAGGGAAGTCAGGACTGTATTTTCTCCCAAACCAGACAGATCTTAGGAGCAACTGGAGCTTGATACGTGAACGAATTGTTTGTGTGAAATTTGTGTAAATCTACTTTTATTGGTTAAAATCAGTGAAAACCTTCCTATTGGGTTCAGTGGATTGAAATCCATTAGCCCTGGCAGCATATCGGTGCCTGCAGATCTTGCACTTGTCCACCCAAACAGACACCTCAGTGAGCATTGGCAGGGACTTCTTTGCCAACATGATGGACGTTGCCTGGGCACATTCTGATGCTGCACAAGATGAAAAAAGCGGGCTTGTGGCAAAACACAAGAAATCCACCTGGGATCAGAATAAAATTAGAATCTGCTGCGTGTATCTATCTGCTGTGTGTGATGCACATGAGAGGTCTTGTTTCTTGACAAACTCCTCAGCTATGAATATGGGGTGACTACCACTTGTTTACATGTAAATTCATAACAGGTAGCTGGGAGGGGAGAGCAAAGGAAAGAGATATTTACGATCCCTGTTTCTAGGCATTGAAATTAGCCCCCATGTCTCCCTGGACACACTGCAGTTGCTGGTGAGAACAGTATTACTCTAAGAAATGGCAAATAAATTCACAGGAGCTCTGTAAGAGCAGCAGTGTAAGATTGTGCAGTGAATCACCCTCTGGAGAAGCTTGTTTCTATAGAGAGCACCTGGGGAAATTAGCTGGTTAATTTGAGCTAGGGAAGGCAAATAAATGCCTAGAGCTGGATATCCTATGCTCTCCTCCATCCCCCTCCCATTCCTCCCGGCTAACCTGCTTGCCTCCTGCTGTCTGCCCTGCTCCTGGGAGCCTGCAGCATTCAGATGGTTTTTCCTTCAGCCCTGTGAATTTGCCGAGGTACGGCGGTGGTTTGTAATATGAGAGCTACTGGATTGCAAGCTTCGAACTGTTTAACTCGATGTTGAATTCACCAATAAAATATTGAGGCTGTTAATTATTCCTTTTAGTTCTCATTGTCCTTCATCAGTTCCCATTGCCTCTGGTGAAAGTGCCTCTGTCCTCACCAGTTCTTTTCCCCCCTTTCATTCCTCAAGCTCTGTGAAATCCTGCAAGCGACTAAAGGCTGTGATCCTGTGACAAAGCCCTCTGCTGTCTCCCTCTCCTGTTTCAACGTTTTGAATAGAAGTGTGGTGTGATTTGTGACCTTATCTCAACTGGTGAACCCTCACACTAAGTTCCTGGTCTCGTCTGACTCCTGCCCTGGAGTACTGGAAAGTCTAAATCTCAGCTGTACATTTTCACATTTCTCCCATTCAACAGCTGGCATACTTGAGCATACTTTTTGAAATGGGTTTTCTTGTGGTTTTAATAAACTGCTTTGTTATAACAGAAATACTATCAGAAGAGTTTTTCAGATAGGATTTGGCATACCGTGAACTCTGCCAGTTTGAGAGATGCAAATGTGTGAAAAGGTAAGTATAAGGTGTGACATGGGCAGGTTAGTGTATCGTGTTCCTTGGAGGTAGCTGTTTTTTCTACTCTTTCTACTGGAAATCACCCTGGTCTGGTGGGACGCTGTTGGAAGTCCATAGCAGAACACTTTATTAACTCTGCCTGGTGCAGTGGAGTTGTTACGGGCAGTGCTGTGATGCAAAATGCTCCTCCTACACGAAGGAGGGATGCTTGGCTTGCTGACACAGGCTGAAGCCTGTCTCTGGCAGATGAAGGCCACGGAGTTATGAACAGCAACACACCAGTCGAAACCTGGGAGAGGTGGTTTGATCCAAAGGCCTCTTCAGAGGGCTGGAGGTCAGGGGAATGGAAAATTTCCAAAGAGCAAAGAAACAAGCTATTGGTGTGAGAACTTGCAAATCTGTGTGGGAAGCTCTGACCAAGAGGGAAGGAAGGTGAATGTGATTTGGGGATCAAGTTTTTATCTGAGAGTCTGTTCTGTTGGAGCTGGGAGCAGGGTCAATGTAACAGTGTGATTATTGCAGACTGTCAGGAACAGTATGGGAACATGGTAGCTGGGATGAGGGGAAAGGCAAAGAGGATCGGGGGGAACACTGCAGGAGCTGCTTGAGCTGGCATCATTTGTGCATTGGAGCCCCCAGAGCAGATCAAGCAGACAAGGAAGAAGGGGGAAGGCAGAGGGTGGCAGCTGTATAGACCAGAGCTGTTTATTAAATTGTCCTAATATGTCCAATATGTTTTAAGATAAATAGTACGCGTAGCATCTGAGTAAAACTACAGGACAGTTACAGAAAGCACTGCAGCATTTGCAGTTCTTCCAGCAGTCTGTAGAGGGTTCAGGATTGTAAAAGCTGAACTGTACACATATTTTCAGCTGTCACTCAAGGTGTTTGATTCCTTCAGGTTGTCAGTATGATCTGGGGCCTTGGGCACCCTCACAGTTTGCTAATGAGTGATCCATCATAGGTGATCCTGGCTGGACATCTTCCTCTGCAATGATGTCTTCAGCGAGAATCACAGTACTGTGCACTGATGTGCTTCATGCAGTAGCATTTAGTGCTTCCCAAGGTGCGTGGTATGCTCTGTCTGATGGTAATAAAACATAATACCAAAAAGTCAGGGATCTCCAGTAAAATAATAACTCCAGACTTTTAACAACGATGGTAAAATACTGGCTGAGCCTTCAGTGCTATAAGCTGATATCTGTAGGGGCTGAATTAAATGAGGTTACAGGACTCTGTTGAGACACCTGTTACAGTTTTTGTGTAAAGAAGGGATGTAGCACAAGCACGAACATTGCAAGCTTCAGCCCTAACCCAGAAGAACCAAGCTTTGCAATAGGTCAAAGCTACTGCTTTAGAAAAACTTCTCTAAAACTTGGTACTCAGGGCATCCTAAATTACATTTAGTGTAAGCTGACTTTGATTTTGCTGCTGCTGTCAATGTCACAGCCTGCCTACTAACATTCCTATCTACCACACCTAGCATATTGTGGCATCCTACCTGATTTCTAGTGAGTCATCCCTTTCTTGTAAAAAAGATTAACTTGCAAAGCACTCAGTAACATGTCTCTAAAACAGCCGAATTACCTCAGTGTGGCAAATAACTTATTCACTAAATTAGGACTTTCTGATAGCTTGTGCTGGGATGTTATTCAAGTAGCAGACATGTAACAATAATTCTAAAACGTTAGGTTAAATATTAGTAGAAACCCAAGAAAGAAGCTCAACAGAGGAAGGAAAATAATAATATTAATAAATAATGCCAGAAATGATGTCCCTTTGAATAATCTGTCACTCAGGATTTCTAAAACAGTCCAGAAGCAAATAGATAGGGTGGGGATAGCTCTGTATTAGTAGGAAGCAATGGGTGAACTATTAGCTCTTCTTTTTCTTTTATATATTTCAACTACAGTCTGTAATTCAAATGTACCTCTAATTCAAATATTCTCTTCCCATAATTTGGGAAGCAGCACTCTGGCGATATTTGTTTTCTGTATTTGATGTAATTGATGTAAGGATTTATAGCTGATGTTCTAAGCTGGGTAGGCAGCAGTATCCTTGATCTGCATGTTCTTAAGGAGCTGTTTATCTCTCGCCTACACCAATGGCTCCTCTGGCTTTTTGAAAATATGCAATTCCCGCGTAAGTTGATATCTCTCCTTCATTCTGGTCCTTATTAGCAGTACTTGTAGATAACATGGCTTTGCAAAGTCTCGGTAAGATTTGAAATGAGTCAGTACACCTCAGTTTTCT